TTGAGACAGAACTCTGTCACCAGAAAGAATTGTGTTCTTTGTTCTGTGGCTTCTCTTCATTGGATATGTGTGTTGCCTTTATAAATCCTCAAGATTATTTAGCAGCCTGAGACTGTGATCTGAGTGGGCAATCCATGTCATGTGCTTTATTACCATCAAACTCAAAGATGAAGGAAAAAAGAACAGTCACAATCTGTCTCTTGAAACTGTTGCCTTCCCCTTGCCCAGAGCCAACACACAGTGTCTCCTGTCTTCCAGGAATCGGTCTTCCATGCTAACACAAGCAGCCAACTGACAGCCAATGAGACAGGAATAATACAGAGTGAATGCAGGGGAATAGAAAATTCCAGGCAGCAGCTTAGCATGACTGGCAAAACGAAGCTATTGAAATAGTTGCAGAAGCTAGGAACTGATGAGACCCTGAAAAACTAGGGTATGGGCCAGGCTGGTTAAGATCAATTGGGCACAACATGGTACTGGATTTGGCCTAGGTTTCACATAGGACCTCATTCTGTGATCATTAACGTACTGAATCACACACCCACCAGTGCCGTAAAGATACAAGCCCCAAGCCCTGCAGCATGACTCACTCTCTTGATATTCAAGTGCGTGCTCCCCTTATTGAGTGTGTACTTTGTGCTTTGCTATAAATCTCAGTACTTTCACTATTTTCAGACTAATCTTGAATTCATTCTCACTATGGTGTCAACAGCCTGGACACCAGCTGAGGTTGAGGTCCCACTGGCATTTGGGGACCATCAATATAATCAGAAGGCTCTTTTCCTGGTGGTATCAATGTAGTGATATGAAAAGGCAACTTTCCTGCCCACATGCATTAGTGACCCACTAGGCTACTGAATATTCAGTGTCTAGGTTTCAGGGAGGGTCCTGTAGTACATTCATGATCTGCAAAAGTAACTATAGATGGCAGATTTCCAAAGGAGTTGCCTTTGCCACAGAAATACAATAAAGAAAATTCCATTTTAAAAGGATACACTGGGATATAGGGAGAAAGTGAAAAGCAAAAAGACGGATTTCTCCCATAACAGCCTTTCTTGTCCTCTTAAGGGAAACTGGAATGCTTGAGGGCCAGCTGCAGGAAAATTTATTCCAATTAAACAAGTCTTTTTAAGCATCTTTATGCTTGTATTTGTGAGCAAAACCTTTGAATGGTGGTATAATTCTCTGCCCATAGGTGGTTTAATTAATAGCACCTAGCTTAATTCTAAGCTCATAGGTACTCAGCAAATAAGTAAATGGTTGATTCAAATGAATTCTATCACTTGGACTTGAATTCTCAGAGAAACTGAGGCTTACAGAGGTGAAGTAACTGTCTCAAATGCACATAGCTGGGAAGTTGTGGAATCCAGATTTCAATCCAAATGTGTTTAAGAAGTGCACGCTCTTTCTCCTGGTTGTGGAGATAAGACGAATAGGGTCACAGCATTACAGTTAAGAGCATGGGCTCAGGGAAGGTTTGGGGTGGCAGACTCCATGGGTTTCAATTCTGGCCCAGTGACCTTCATCAGGAAACAACTTAATTTCTTTGTGCCTTAGTTTTAGCACATGTAAAATGGGGATAAGAAAAGTATCTACTTCAAAGCCTCATTTCAAGTATTAAAGGAGTTAGCATATGTAAGGAACTAAAACAGTGCCTGATACTTTATGCATAGTGAGCACTCTGAATCATTTTAGCTATTTTACATGATTACTGAAGTCAGGGAATATATTTCATCCAGCAATAAAACTTTTAATTTACACTATAAGTTCTTATGTGCTGGATGTCTTGAAAATATAAGGCAAAATGAGAGAGTAGAGGACAGTGACTGAAAATCATTGCAATCTTCTTTTGCACAAGAACAATGCGTTAGCATCATCTCCATCACCACCATCACTTTCATTATCTTCATCACCAACTTCCATTTCATAGCACATTTGCTTTCCCTAAGGAGTGCCTCCTACTAACTCCAGAGCAAAAGTACTCCTGAGTATATTTATGAGTTTGAGATGTAGGTTTGGGACTGGAAATTTAAGGGGGTCTTGAGTTCCATGTCTCAGTTAATGCAATTCTTTCCAGAGTAGCCAATTAGTACACAGGAAGTCCAGCAATAAAGGCAAGTAAAAATGAGTAATCTCCAGAAACTTTCAGATGTTTTGGGGAGGATAAAGATTCCTACAGGCCAAACCCAGTTAAGGTTTGGGAAAACTCAGTTCAGGTCCCAAGGGCTTTAATAAAATCTTCTGATCTCTGGTTCTACATATATATATATATATAAAATATATATAATATACATTATATAATACATAATAATATATTATATTATATATAATAATGTATATTATATATTGTATATGTATATATAATATATAATATGTATAATATATATGTATAATATATATTATATATATTATATATTATATATATTATATATATTATATATTATATATATTATATGTATAATATATATAATATATAATATGTGTAATTTATACATATATAATATATAATATACATTATTATATATAATATGTGATGATATATAATATAATATGTATTATATAATGTATATTATATATATATATATATATATATGTAGAACCAGAGATCAGAAGATTTTATTAAAGCCCTTGGGACCTGAATTGAGCTTTCCCAATTATATATATATATATATATATATATAAAATCCCATATATATTATATATGTATATATATTATATACATATCCCATATATATTATATATGTATATATAATATACATATATAATATATGTATATATTATATATAATATACATTATTGTATATAATATGTAATGATATACAATATAATATATATTATATATTATATTATATATTATATATACATATATACATATTATATATTATATGTATATATTTGTATATATAATATATACATATTATATGTTATATATAATATATACATATTATATATTATATATGTTATATATATAATATATAATATGTAAGGATATATAATATAATATATATTTATATATATTACATTATATGTGTGTGTGTATATATATATATATATATATATATACACACTTATTTAAAACCCAAAATAATCCTGTGGACCAGATAGCTCATGTATTATTTTTGAGAAAAACCTGTGTAACAAAAAGTTATACAGTTCGTCTATCACCATTTTGATAAGGCCGACAATCTGTGTCCCAAGATCCTTTAATATTCTTGTCACCAAAACCAGAGACTTTTCCAAAATCAGAAGATGAATGACAAGAGGTAGAATGTTCTACATATAAGAGGTAGGATGCAAGGTGACTTTCAAGTGCTTGAATTTCCAAGTGATTATGGTTGGATATGTGATTGTAAACCTATACTGTTCTTTTTAATGACTTGATCATGAAGCTGGAAAGACAGTTCCTGCCTCTGTTTGGTGGTCTCATTAGTTTGCCATTGTCCTCATAAAACTGCAATTTATTCCAGTTTTCCTTTCCTATCTTCACACCATTTGTTTCAATGCAAGGATAAGACTTCAGAAGCCACTGCAATGCTCCCAATAGCATTAAATCTTACACTTTAAATTTAAGATATTTAATATCAAAGCTGCAAAACTGCCAAATGGATAAATTTTTCTTACTGATTATACATTTAATAATTTTATGAGAAACTACATGTTTATTTCTCTTAAGAATGATCAGATTGAAGATAGCTTAAAGAAAAAACAGCCCGAATTCCACCACTATGCAATACGTTCATGTAACAAACTTGCACATGTACCCCTGAATCCATAAAAATACAAAAGAAGACATTTTAAACACCTATTTCTTTGGCTGTGTTACAATAACAGAGTGAAATCTTATTTTTAAGTTGCTATTTCTTCCACACGCAAAAAATATTCATTGTTGTGCCTGCTAATTTATTCTCATTCTATTCATTTTAATAATTGTTATCATATTTGGAACATGTGATTACTTAAAATAACCATTTTTGCCCAGGACAAAGTAATAAAAGAATTAGAAGAAACTTATCCCAAAATTTATACACATTTGGAGTATTTCCATCTCGTGAACTTCAGATTTATTTTCATCCTAACCTCTTATTTTGAAATTGCTTCTCAGAGTCACCACATTTGTGCCTATCTTCATGGTAAATTGTTTTTAGCATAGTAATATTCTCAGATCAATTGCTGGTGGTAGTAATGTTAGTATCAGTCATCTAGAAACACGTAATAGCTGGGAGATAAATGAGATACACCACCCCTTCTTCTTTTAGCCTGGCACAATTTGCTCTGCTGAAAGATGTCTTTACTACAAAGTAATTTCCTGGGAAGTCTGAAAACACATCAGTTAGACACTAAGAATTCTTTCAGCTCACCTGATCTGCAGAGGCAGAAACGTTCAGCTCTGTGAATTTGGCCAGCACCATGGACAGAGCCACCATCTACTGTACCAGGTGGTGGTTCTGAGTGCTGTCACCCAGAAGGGTCTTGTAACCTTTATCCTGCCTTCCTAAGCCTTTATATTTTTTTCCTTCAGTGAGCCCTCCTCCTCTTCCTCCTCCTCCTTCTTCTCCTCATCCTCCTTCTCTGCCTCTTCCTTTTTTGTAATTTCCTAGCCCTTAGATGTTAGGATTTCCTGGTTGTTGACAATTTGAATTCCAGTTGTTTAGCCCTGAAGACTTTTCCCAAAATTGCAAATTGATTTTGCAATTTTTTCCATGACTCTTAACATGGTTCTTCTTTGTATCATTTCTTTTGCCCCCAATATATGTCACATTTTTGTTCTTCTAAGTTGCATTCTTTTGTTTTGTTTTGTTAATGTTGGCTACTGTGTTCACCTAGCCAACCTCTCAGAAGGCTATTTGTTTTCATTACATTCATCACAAATGCTATACTTAAATATGTCATAATTTGAATGTAAATGTATCATATGTACAGCGTGTGTCATCTTTTACATAAGTGATATGTCAGTCAGGATGTAGCATGAAAGAGATGGTTTACACAGATAGAGTAATTGAGACTTTATTGAGGGACTACTTACAAATGTATGGGAGAATCAAGCAAATGAAGCATAGTGAAGCCCACGGGACTAGCAACAGACTAGAGTTGTTATCCTGTTAGGCCTAAAAGGGAATAGCGAGGTTAATAGAATCTGGAGAGGGCTTTCTGATGGGAGCTACAGCATTTGGGAAAGAAATGATGTTAATATGTAATGAGCCAGGAGAAAGGGAGCCTGGCTCAGGAAAATGAAAACCCTGAAATGACTCTCCCACCCCACTCTCCAAGTTTTTAAACAGCACTTCCTGTTGGCTAAATCCAGTGGGACGGCATAAAGCAATGAATCTCATTGATGTGGTCCATAAAAGCCAATCTCCAGGAACAGCACACAGAGGAGAACTGTGGAGAGGAGATCTGAAGGGAAAACAGAAATAACTAGACACAGATAGTATGCATTGTTGCCCCTACAAAATTGAAAAATCGCAAAGGCATTATAAACCCAGTTCCTACTGTAAAATCCAATGTATCTACATTGACCACTTGGTATTTATAACAAGTGACTGTTCTTCAGGGGCCTCTTGCTCAGATACTTTGACCTCTCCTAAGGATTAAAGCCAATCATTCATCATGGGATTCCTCACTGAATGCCACTCACCTCTCAATATGTTAGACAAACACGAGTAGGTAATCACCATTGTCTAACACTAGCATAGCTTAGAAAAACCTTCAGGTTAATATATTCAGCCATACATGAACAAGTAACATCACGTTCTACCAAAATCTTTTTCTCAATTTATTTGATGATTTATAACAGCTTTCAAAATTCCCCTTGATTGAGGTTGAACATAACCCTTAAAATCTGAAAACAGCCACAGTGCTGTGGTTTTTGACGAATCACCTCAGCTAAAAGTCGCATGCTCATGCTTCTTATTTATTCATCTGTTCTTGCCAAGGAAACTCGCCAGCTCCTCCTGGTGCATGTCTCCTGGGAAAAATGAGAGGAGAAATAATAAGGGCACCTTGAAGAAACAATGTAATTATACATAAAGTACTGTAGGCAATGATAGAAGTTTAGATGATTTTGCCATCTCATGTGGAACTAAGAATAAGAGCCCTCCTTTCCCTGCCAGTGGAAAAAAAAGTATGAAGACACATTCTGGCCTAGAACATATCTTTTTAAATATTTATTTTTAATCACATTTTAATCCTGACATTTATATACAGCTACATGGTAAAATGACTGACTTCCCTCATGAATGCTGAATCCATGGTTTGGCTATGTCACCCCCATACTCTAATAAGCTGGGTCAACTCGTCATCAACAAGTCATCAGATATAAATTAGTGACATGTTTATGCTATTGGCTGAGAGTTAACATTGCTGTTGGGCCCAAATGAATGAAAAGTCCTTCTTAACATCTACAAATAAACAACAAATGCATCAAATGTCACTCTCTCCGCTGGTATTTAGAGGCAATGTTCATATAGCACCATACCATTTACAACATTTTGGGTTTTTGGTCAATAGCTTTCAATATACTTCTGCTTCATAAATTGTCCCTCACCCTAATGCATTGTTCATCTTTGATGAGCAGATATTGTAATAGACATCTGTTGTTTTTATCTGTCCAACATCCTTGCCCCTTTCTCTGGAAAAGAGCCCTTGTACTTTCCTCTAATAAAAATTTCTCCATTCTTAGTCCAGGCAATTTAGCTTAGTCTAACATCTCATGTCAGCTGCAGGAGAAGGCACAACACACAGGCTGGCCAGGTAGCTGATTTCAGTCCTTGAACTCAATTGGGGAAGAATTAGTTACACGCTACAAGCCAGATCAATGAACTGCTATTCCAAAATTTCATAAACATTACTGGGGAAAGGAAACTTTCCTTTGGGTTAAGCCAACAAAGAGGGTAATGAACCCTACAAGTGAAGATGGCGAAAGCTCTGCATCCAGTCATACCTGAATCTGTAGCTACCTCTGGACCCTTGAAGGATGTGAAACCAGAAATTTTCTTCATTGCTAAAGCCAGTTAGAGTTGTAGTTCTATACCTTATAACCAAAAGAAAGAATTCTGATTAACGCAAGTAAAAAACTACCATCTGCAATGTGTGCAAAAATTTAAGGATAACATAACTAGGTTCTCTTACCTATTCTCATCTCTGGGCTTCATACTTTTACATTATGGTTGAGTCTGAGCTAATACAATTTTGAAAAAGATAAGCCTTACTTCTGTTGTCATCACGTTGAACATTGCCATTTTTATCAGATTCAGACCCCAGCAATACTTACTTGGCCATTCTTTATTATTATTATTATTGTATTTGGGCTCTGGGGTACATGTACACATCCTGCATCCTGCAGGATTGTTGCATAGATACATACATGCCATGGTGGTTTGCTTTCTCCTATCCAAAAGCACATCTACTCTAATCCTCTAGGACTCTAGTGGGAGAGTGGTTCATTTTTCCATGCACAAATGAGATTATTAAAAGTTTTTTCTCTATGGCTAGGCGCGGTGGCTCACGCCTGTAATCCCAGCACTTCGGGAGGCCAAGGCGGGGGGATCCCGAGGTCAAGAAATCAAGACCATCCTGGCCAACATGGTGAAACCCCGTCTCTACTAAAAATACAAAAATTAACTGGGCATGGTGGCATGCACCTATAGTCCCAGCTACTCAGGAGGCTGAGGCAGGAGAATTGCTTGAACCCCGGAGGAGGAGGTTGCAGTGAGCCAAGATTGCGCCACTGCACTCCAGCCTGGCGACAGAGCAAGACTATGCCTCGAAAAAAAAAAAAAAGTTTTTTCTCAGCATTTCAGAACATTCCCCATGTGTATTACAGATACTAATCTTTAAAAGTAACCCTTTAAAATGGTTCTGAGTCAATTGTTTATACTAACTAACTTATGAAAATACACTTTTTAATAAAAATGTCTGTAGATGGTGGATCTTGCTTGGCATGTAGTTTAGATTACTGTTCAGCAAATATTCTCTTCCTTCATCCAAGCATGTTATTCTTGGCCATGTGATTTGCTTTGGCCAATACATTAGTGAACATGATGGAACAGAAGCCTTGTTAAGTGTTTTTGCGTGGCTTGGTTTGGATTTTAAGCTCCAGTATTAAGCCATAAGAAGAGCATGTCTTGGGTAGGTAGCTGCTACCATTGCAGCCAGGGCTACAGGAAAAAGTACGTGTGGAACAGACAAAAACCAAACACAGGCTGGCACCAAGTTGAGCCAACCTATAGTATGAAGTAAAACTACTCAGCCAATCCCATGCTAGATCAGCCAAAACACAGAAAACTGTAAGGTAAGAGTAAAACCCTTCTCATAAGCTATTACAGCTAGGATGATTTTTTCCACAGCACTACAGGGAAACTATTTGACTGCTATACTTTGTATAAATGCACTTCCATGCTTCATGTACTGTTGCATAGCTCATGCAGCCAGTATTCCTTAAGAGACAGGAGAGGCCAAGAGAAGTGGATCCTTGATCTAAAATCTTGTCATTGAATGTCAGCCCTTAACTTGATCCCAGACACCCAATTTATGTAGAGACCAAGAGGGGGAAATGACTTCCCTTAGGTCACATGACTAAAATGACATCAAGCCAATGTCAAACAAAAGAATCTTTACTTCCAGCCTCATGATCTTCCCATAATGCCACTCTAACCTCTCTTGGGCATTTATAGATAAATTCATACTCCACTTTAACATTTCACTGTCCTTGCATTGATAATGCTGGTTCCTCTAAGGACTAGCTTATAGCAAAATACAGAACATAAAGACCAATGATATTGGACATTTGCAAAGGTTTTCGCTACCAGAGAAGGGAGGGAATGCCAATTTGTCTATTTTTTGTTATCAGCGGTGGGCAAAGAGTAGCTTTGGCCTAGACTGCTTCCACTTCCCTGAAAATCTGTATCCTGAAAGCATGGGTTTATTTTGTTTTACCTCTATGCCAATAATTATTTAGAGCATATACTTCTATTTTCATCTTTTTGAATGTTGTCTATTAAAGATATTAATTTTAGAAGAAAAATAACTATTGAGTACTAGGCTTAATACCATGGTAATGAAATAATCTGAACAGCAAACCCCCATGGCACTAGTTTACCTATACAACAAACTTTCACATGTCTCCCTGAAATAAAAGTTAAAAATAAAATAAAATAATAAAATAATTGAAAAAAAATCTCTACAGCAGGATGAATTGAGACCTTGTAGATTGTTTAAACCAGAAGTCATATATTCAGATGACCTTAGGGTGAGAAAAGTAAAACACATGAGTCAAGAGGCTGGGTGAGGATTCTTGTGAACTGAATATCTCAGGCCCTGTTACATGGCGTGGGAAGAACAACAGCGACTAACTCTAGCTAATTGTGACCAGGTTCCAAATCTTTGGTTATTCCAAAAGAAGTCACATTTCTGAATTTTTATATGATATAATAAATGTTTAAAGGATCGTGACTATTTTTGTTGACACTGTGTTTCATACAAAACATACCCGTGAGCTGGATGTCACTGGTATGTAATTTCTGGCATAAATTAATGCACAGTGAATAGCACTGCAATAAACGTGGATGTTCAGATGTCTCTTCACCATACTGATTTCATTTTCTTTGTATATATATACCCAGTAATGGGATTGCTGGATTATAGGTACGTTCTATCTTTAATATTTTGAGGAACCTCCATACAGTTTTCCATAATAGCTGTACTAATTTACATTCTTACCAACAATACATATGAGTACTCTTTTCTCTACATCCTTGCCAGCAATTGTTATTTTTTGTCTTTTTGATATTTGCCATTCTAACTGGGGTAAGATGATATTTTATTATAGTTTTAATTTACATTTCTGTGATGTTAGTGATGTTGAGTATTTTTCCATGTATCTGTTGGCCATATGTATGTCTTCTCTTGAGAAATGTCTGTTCAGGCCTTTTTCACATTTTTTAATTGGTTTATTTGATTTTTCTCTATTGAATTTAGTTCACTATATATTCAGAATATTAACCCTTTGTCAGACATATAGTTTGAAAACATTTTCTTCTATTCTGTAGGTTGTTTCATCACTTTATTTATTGTTTCTTTTGCCATACAGAAGCTTTTTAGTTCAGTGTAACTTCTTTTGTCTATTTTTGCTTTTGTTGCCTGTGCTTTTGAGTTTTTATTCAAAAAATTCTTGTCCACTCCAATCTCAAGATGCATTCAAGCTATATTTTCTTCTAGTAGTTTCATAGTTTCAGGTTGCATTTAAGTCTTTAATACATTTAGAGTTGATTTTTTTAGAAGCTAAGAGATTGGAGACTAGTTTCATTCTTCTGCACACAAATATCCAGTTTTTCCAGCACAAGTTATTGAAGAAACTATGCTTTCTTCAATGTGTGTTCTTGGCACCTTTGTCAAAAATAATTTGGCAGTAAATGTGTGAATTTATTTCTGGGTTCTGTATTCTGTTCCATTGGTCTAAGTGTCTGCTGTATGTCCATCAACAGGTTACTGAACAAACAAATGGTTAGTGGTATCGGTCACGCAATGAATTCTAACCAACAATAAAAAGGAATAAAATGTTGTTACACATTACAACATGGATAAATTTCAAAATGACTGTGCTGAGTGAAAGAATCTAGACCAAAAACAAGCACACATTATGTTATTCCTTTATGTAACATTCAAGAAAAATGCAACCTCATCTATAGTGGTATGAAGCAGAGCAGTGGCTGACTGAGGATGGGTGGTGTGACGGGGCCAGAGGGGTGTGGGAGGGAGGCATAGGAAAGTGGCATGAGAAATATTTTGGAGAAAATGGATATATTCATTACCTTGACTTCAGGGATTATTTCACAGGTGCATACACATATCACAACTAGTCAAATTGCAAAACTAGTCAAACTTCACAGTTTACTATATGTGAATCACACCTTAATAAAACTATTTTTAATAATTAAAAAGAAATTATTTCATAGCGAATATGCTTTACAAATTTAAAATAATCTAACTGGGTTCTATATTAATTATAATATATGGATTATAGTATTTTAAAAGAGGAAATAAATCTACAAACTAGCATAGGGTGACTAATTCTAGAAATATCTGTTAGTAATGGTGTACTTTTTGGTTCACTCCAGTATCATAAGACAACAAAGTAGATATTGTATAGCGAAATTCCCTAAAAATACACAATGTCATGTTTTGCCAAAACATCTATGAAAGGATAAAGTATTTTCAAAAGAGTAGAAAACATCTGAGAGCACAGCCATAAATTTATAACTGTTCCTCCAGCATGCTAAGTAACATTATATATCAATTTATCTACTTGGAGTAGGTCATGCAAATCCATACTAAATAGTATATAATTACCCAAAGCATTCAGATCAAAGTAAGCACTTTCCTGAAATCTTATGCTTCATTATAATGGGCAGAGTTTATCTTATAAAATTACGGTACAACTTCAAATGTGTTAACTTTTATTTTACGCATGATTTCTTTATCTTTTTAAATTCTTGTTTATATTTGCTAACAAGCCATATAGTTTGTTCTCTCATATTATTTCTGAGTTATAGGGAGTTTGAGAAATTAAAAAAAACTCATTGTTAAAGATAATTTCCATAATTATTTAAAGAGTAAATTGAGAAAGATTTACTATGTTTTTTAAAAGACCATGGAAAAGGAAAGAGAAATAACACAAGGTAGAGAATTCATGAATAGGTAATCACTTTCTACAGACAATAAGCAATGTTCCAATAAACCCTGAGAAATAACTAATTAATTTTCCAAGTGAGCAAACATTGTTTTGTAGTCCCATAGACCTAAAAAGGAATCTAAAGATAGTGAATAGCAATGTGTTCCTAATTTTCAAAAGAAGATTAAAAGGGCCCTTAGTTCTCATTGTTCAGCTACTTCAAATTCTATCAAAATAATAGAACCTAAATTAGCACAAGAAGCAAATTTTCTCTGTCCTGGAAAATAAAGAAGGAAGAAGTAGCTTTTGTTTATGAAGAGTTGATTGGTCTGAATAAATTTTATGACTTTCTGACAA